GGGGGGGGGGGGGGATAAAATCGCGTCTCCTCTTCTAGCTGAGAGAAAGACAAGATCATCGTACCGCCGTAATGGCCGGCCGGTCCGATTCGGTTCTGAGTGAACTTAATCGATTCCCCGAGGTCCAATTACATGAAAAAAAAAAGCTGTCATTTTTTTTTCTACGCGCATTATTAAAGGAGATACTTCTGTCCAAAGTTCGAAATCGCCAAGTTTCACGGTTGAAAGAAACTTCGCCCGAAAAGTGTCCAGCTGGACACTTTTCGTTAGTAGCCGCCTCGGGACGGTTCAGTCAAAAGACACGATAGTGTCTCGAGCTAAGCGTACGCACAAGCCGCGGGGCCGGCGTGCACAGGAAAAACCAGGGCAACATTCGCAAATTTGTCAGGATTTCGGCGTTAAAGCTCTTCAGGTTACTTGAAAATTATATTTGCCTTTATGTTTCGAGATGCTAAGTATAATTTTGTAAAATATGTATAACCCTTTCTCTAATGACCGAAATGCGAATATGCCAGCATTATTGTAATGTGATTTTATGAAGTGCTTCGCACTAAGTTGATCTAATTCGCAAACGTGCCCCGTCCGCTCATTTGTTCAATTTCATTCGTTTTATGAGTGAAAGTTACTTTTATAACGTAAAACGACATATTATACAACTGCGGGAAACTTAATTCTAACTAATACCACGTTACAAAAGTTGATTTCGCAATCGAAATTTGTTAAAACGCGAAATTTCGAGACGCTTGAAAATTTACCCGACTGCTCTCAAATCCTTCCTCCTTTTCAGTTTCAACATTTCGAATTGCTCAATTTTTACGAAACCCAGGGAAAAGTACCTATGTCCTAAAAGGAACGTTCTGCAATTCTGCCTCCACCGTATCTCTCCCGGCGAATACATAAAGCGCTCTGCGAATCTGCCCCTTATGTAAAACGTGCCCCGCTCTCCCCCGCTGCCCGATTCACCGACGCCGTAAAAGTTGCACAAATAACGGATCGGCCTGACTGCTTTTATTATGTACAATATATCACAATAATAATTAAAAATTATCCCGTTAACATACTGATTATTACACCTAAAGTTATCTTTGTGGAAAAAGAAGTGATGATACCCGTAGAAAAATACCCTTCTAATGTTTGACTTTTGTCTGGGCGAGGGAGCGCGCACACTTGGCACTTTGTTTCTTTTTTTCCCGTTTACTCTTTTCTTACGTCCCCTTTACGCGTAGATCGACGGTGAGACGGCGGGCGAGTTCTCGGTCGATCGGATCGCACCGTCCACGCACGCTCGGTCAGGTATCACTTCGGTTTATCATCACTGCAGTTTATCATCACGCACCACACCATCAACAGTTTGCGGCTGGGATCGCGGTGGGCTTTTCTATCATTTTTTCCTTCTTACCACGGCCTCCACGGTTTCCCCTCTACCGGCTGCACCACGCTCTTTCGCATCACCAGAGCGAGGGGTTTTTGCAGGGGCGGGCTGGAGATGCGCGGGTCGAATTCGGGATCACTGGTGTACCCGCTCACCGGTGTACCCGGGGACGTCCCAACGTCTCTATGGCTGCTGCTCGAGCTGTAGCCGGTCGCTTGATCCCGGAAAGACGCCGGCGACGCCTCGAACGTCACCGGGCTCCCCGCCGATGTGGACGTCGAGCTGGCGGAGGACGACGAGGAGGATGATGACGCTGTGCTGGCCGTCCTCTGGGGGATGGGGATGAGCGTCGGTAACGGCGAGGTTGGCGTCGGTGACGTGGACGGTGACGTCACAGGTGTCGCTTTCGCTCCGGCCGGAAGCACCAAGGCGATGTCACCGTTCGCCAATCTGGTCGGGAGCAATTGCAGACCGGTGCCGTTGGCATTCGTGAAAAATATGCCGTTCGACTGCTGCACCTGAATCCTCGGGGTGGCGTCCACCTGAGGCAGGATGTGCACTTGTAATTGTGCCGTTGGTGGCGCCGGTTGGACAGGCTGCTGTGTCGGATGATGATTGCCGGTATCGGTCGGACCGATGTAGGAGGCGAGGTGGGCCAGCAGACGTCGTTTCACCGAAGAGTCTAGGCCTGGAAACTTGCCCACCTCGGCTGCGCATTCAGAAAAGCCGGCGCGGAATTTATTTACAATCGTCGGGTCCGCCGATGCGGTCAAAGCGACGGATTGCCGTTGCAGGTTCTCCATGTGCTTCACCGCCATTTCTAAGATATCCGCCTTTTCCAGCTTCGAGTGTCTCGACGGCTGTAACAGAAAGGAGGTTCGACGATTAAGCGACAGATCGACCGGTAGTCCAAACGCCGGCATGTCGATCTATGAGATAGGAAATCGGAAGGGATTTCTGAGAGGTACAGCAGAAAACAGACGAAAGATTCTTCTTTCAGAGTGAGAAAGGAGATAAGTACAAGACATGTGCGAAGTATACAAGAACGATGTCGAGACACTTACGTCTTTTTTCATGGCGTCCAATATCAGGGTTTTCAAATCGTTCAGGGAATTGTTTATCCTGGCGCGACGTCTCTTTTCCATAATCGGCTTGTTGCTCTGTAACAGGAGAACAAATTTTCGCCGTTGAGCAACGATGACAGGAAGGTATTCCCGGTAGCTGCGCGAAATCGGGAGAGACTGAGAAAATTCAACGCGAAAACGATTCTGTTCGATTCAGCCTTGGATTCTACTTCAAGTATCAATGCTGCGACTTCGCCCTCCCTTCGTACTATCTCCAAGTTAACGAATTCCGTCCGGTCGAATCTATCGGCGAGCATCGATCCTAACTCTCGACTACTTGCCGACGATCGCGATTCTTTTCATTTCGAAGAGGAAACCAATCGTTTCGCCGAAATTCAGGAGACAAGTAACATCGAGCGAGAAGGACGAACGAAGGAGACAAAATCGGGGGAATTTTTTGGTTTCTCCTCGGATAAGAAACTAACCCGTCGATTTTCGCTGGATCGTCGCGTAGCCGTGACGGCCGGGGTAGTCTGCGCCGGCGGCTGTCCAGCCTCCTGAGGCACGTGTTGCGCGGGCGGCGTAGCGCCGACGGTGACACCACCCGTCGGCATCGTGGTACCCACTCCGGTCACCATTCTTACTTTCTGTATATCACAGAACGCGGCGAACTGCTGAGCCAAGTGACTCGTTTAATGTACAAGCACTGGGGAGTATCGGAATATCGACGACGATATGTCACTTCACTGATAATCCAGTAGTAGTCTGTTTCGATTGTCTCCGACTCTCTCGCACTGACTCTCGGGTCTCGACGCACGATCGCGGTAATCGGAGGGATATGTGAGATCGCAGGATGTTGTAGCTCACACCGGTGCGTGTGTGCACGCGTCTCTCCTCTCTCTCTTTCTCTCTCTTTCTCTCGCAGAAGTCCGACCGCTCGGGAGTAGTGTCAGAGCTCAACTGACTCGGCGAGCGACGAACGTTTTCTGTCGCACGGTCGAAGCGTGGCACTCGATGGAATGCCTAGTGGTAGTGCCGCCGCTTTCGGTGGGGAGCGACGAGGGATACGACGGAGGCAGGGTGGGAGAAAGAGCGCGTGACGCTTTAACCTGGGTACTCCTACCATCGAATTCTGACAGTCGGACGGCACCCGATTGCCTTTAAGGCCCCCACTCCGGGCACGGTCCCCTCCATGCGGTCCGAGCGGCGGCTCGCTCCTCGCGAATCCCCTCCGGGCCTTTCCGGCGTCGATCGATTGGGTTTTCTAGCGAGATTGACGTCGGTGATTTCCGACGATGGAATTTTCGACCGCACTTTTGCCGCTCGACCGGCTCCGCTGAAATTCGGGGCTGCGGCCCGCGCGAATTCTCTTGTTCACCGTTTTCCGCTTTCCCTTCTTTCTTTTTTTTCCCCGATAAATCGATCGATTTCGCGTGAAAACGATTGATTATTTCAAACGTCCCTGCGGCCCCTCTCCGAGTGAGTAGTTTATCGTCGATAATGAACGCGCGCGTTCATCAAATCGTTCCGAGTCGTCGGAGACGACACGAGCCGCGGTCCCTAACTCGCGGCGGTTCGCATTAATTTCCAGGAGAGATAATCATTCTCTCGGGCGCGCGCTCAAAACGAGAAACAATGGAGCAGAACGTTTCCACGGGCCGGCGATTAGTCTCGCGTCTGCAAAGGTCATTAGAACCGGCTGGCCGGCCGGCCGAGCGCGTTTGCGTACGAGGTCGGATCGGTGGTAATGGCAATTCCGACGTGGACGCGACCAGTCGCGCGAACGTCATCGGGGCTTATATCACGTTCCTCGAAAATAGCCGAGTGCCACCGTGTGTGGTGTCTGACGCACGCGCATAGCTCCGGCACGTGCCTCGCACTCCTTCCCCGTGTGCCTTTCGAAATTGCTCTTTCCCTCCCTCTCCCCTTCCCCCTCTCTCTGCTTGGCGACCGATTAAACGCACGGCGCTGTATTTATCTCGGTCGTCGCACATACGTGCACGTACGCACGCTCTGAAATACGACTGCATCGATCTCCCGCCGGATCCTTACTTTGTTGACGGTTGTTTGGACGGCGCGCGGATGCCCGTCGCGCAAATATTATGACGGACTTTGATATCGCGGCCGCGCTCTCGACGCCCGGTGCTGATTCCTTTGAATAATTGGGTTTCACGCACGAGGGAGAGAGCTCGCCAAGAGATGGATCGGTTGTCGCGAGGACCGGGGTGCTTGGCGACGCTTTCATCGGGCCCAGGGTGCAATCATTGCCCGGCAACCTTGAGTTGCCTGCTGGCTGTAGCCGGGGAATTGATTTACGACGAACGCGCCGTTAATTATCTCGCCCCACGATCGGACGATTAAAGCCGATGCAAGTGTTCCTCTTATTTTGCTAATTCGTGGCTCTGCGTGCTTCTCAGTGAGCTCCGTCCGGTGATTGTCGCACCCACGATCACGAAACTCGGATGTTATTACGATCTATCGAGCACCGTTTATTTCAAGTAATACGCTTACGCGGTATTCATCATCGGATCTTCAAGATCTCCCCAAAATTCATCTTCAGACGTTTCGTAGCCAATGAAACGAGTCGTAAAGTGTCTCAATGAATTTAAAGAGATATAAGACTACGAATACTGGCATTGATTGATTGAAAGGCGCGCCGGGCGTAAACACCTCGGCTTACGGGGCAAGAACGGTAAGAGTATTTTACCGGGCACAGTCTGAACTTGGACCCGAGAAAAAGTACGCGCATGTAAGTACAGTGGCGAGATAATGATTGCTCCCAGGATATTTGCGAGCGTGCACGATCGCGCAGCATCGAGTTGTACGGTACCCTACGGGCGAGTAGAGTGCGGGAAAACGGACGCGGGTTCAGGAGTTCGTAGAAGCGCGGTAGGTAGGTAGGTAGGTAGGTAGGCAAGCAGGTAGGTGCAACGAGGCTCGCCTGCAGAGAGGATCGTGTCCTCGTGCGCGCGAGAGAGCAGAACGGAGGCATCACAGAGCCGGATAACCGACAAAGAAAAGGAGAGAGAAAGATATATAGGTGAGCAGGAGGGAGAGGGGTGAGCGAGACCGTCGGCACGATGCGAAACGAGGAGGGCAGTAACGGACGGAGCGAAAAAGAGACGAAGAAGGCGACAGCAGGAGAGGAGACGGCGCGCGACTGCATCCTCGGAGTGCATCCGCGGGGAAGGACGAGGCCGAAGCGCGCCGCCAATCACGTGACCAGGATTCGACGCGGCGTACGACAGGACCGCGCGGATTGGCCCGATTCCGCTCCCACCACGACCCTCGGTCGAGGACGAGCGTGCCGCGCGCGTCGCTTACGTGGGTGGTGGGGGTGCGAGCGTCATTCGACTTCGAGCGCTCGAGTCGTGCGGGCGCGCGTGGGTCGCGAGCTAGAGCGTGTCCCGGAGAGATATGCGTGGGGGTGGCGATTATGTGGACGAGGGTGGGCGGCGAAAGATCGAGGAATTTATACGTACTACCGTCATGCGAGCGACATGACACATACCTCCTCTCGCCGAGGGGAGTGCGCGCGTGATCGTCCGAAGGTTGCAGATAGGAATCGCCCTCTGTCCAGCACACGTCAAGAAACAGTAGTATTAAGAATTTCTAACTTAACAATGTGAACGTAATGAAACATGCTGTATCTAACGGTTGCGTTATTGGGTAGAAAGTAGTAACATTGATGCGATGGTACCGTTGCTTGGTATTTGCTGGGTGGGCTGACGATCGATTTGACGTTGAATATATTTGGGGTGTTATCTGAGGATACGTCGAATTAGCAAGTACAATGCTTGATTTAGGATATCTCGAAATGTCGGCAAAATAGATCAAAGTTGCATGTATGGTGATGAATCTCGTATCTTTCTAGAACACTCAATCGGTCGTACCACGGCTGATGGCGATGATGGTTGTACCGGTGATGATCGACACTGTGACACTAATGCATCTCGTTATATTGAGTGAAGTATAATATATCAACTAGGAAATTGACGGTACAATCAGCCGAGGGACATTGTGTACGAATGGCACAACAATGTTAGTCCATCGAAATTAGAGGTGTGATGTAAATGTTGCATTGAGATTAATAATATCGAGGCGATACACACGCTCGTTCAGTCTCGAAGTTTAATCCGGACTTGGAACGCGGCAAGATACGCCCGATGTTGTGCTTCCATCTACCGGCGGAAGCTGCAGGTTTTTTTCACTGGACCGGCGATGAAGTCAAGCTGGACCAATGAGTATCTGCCGAACAGGCGACTGCGTGCGTGCGTGCGTGTTCAAACGCAAATGTGTAGCAAATGTTTCCAAAAAAATATATCTACCTGACTGAAAAATACATTCTTAAATAATGCCGCTGCCTTATCACATATATGCCAATAACGACGAATTGAAATGATCCATCATCTTGCAAAGGTACGTATTCTTTGTTGAAGAAAAAAAAGGTATTTGTTCGCTATACATGGCTCGAGAAAAATTCTACTCACGTAACTCGTGACGCTTTGTTCGTAGGAATTTAATTTCACCTCAGCTCCGATCATTCACCGAGATTGTGGGACTATAAATCCCACAAATTCACGAAGCGGTTGTCCTTCCACGACATTCGCGTTCGCTTACATAAGACTGTACGCCGATAAGCTCTAATAAGCAACGCGCTGGTTCATACCCGAGCGATAACTAAGTATCGGCGAAGTGTCGGTAGACGAATAGTATTTCGGTCAAGGAACTCTCGTGCCCCTTTTTATCATACGTCGTAACCTTCGATAAAATCTATGTAAAACATATGCGGCGGTTCTCGCGCGCTGATCCATTATGAACCTCGCTATTCGCGAAAGTAGCCCGCGGATTTGTTGCCACTGTGCACGCGCGATGTCGGTTTTCACTTGACTTCGCTAATGTTAATGCGGAATTCTTACACTGGCTACAAAAATCGAATGAAAGGAATTGAGTCGTGGTTTTGCGCCAGTTCCCTTGCACGGACTGCGATCGAGTCAAACTGAGCGAAACTCGAGTCGGATGAATCAATTTGACTAGTAGGAATTTGAGTCGCAACATTTAATTGGCAGATTAGCAAGAAGTTCATCCAACTATACGATGTGAATAATTTTGATTAGAAAATTACAACTTTGATGGCTCCGATTGAACGTTTCAATCAGAGTTATAATAACTCCGATTGGAAAGTTAAATCAATCGGACAAACAGGATCAATAATGTTTTGAGATGTCTTTATGACCTGTATCTCTTTATGATCTCTTTATGATTCTGTATTTTTGTTTTTTACAAAATCTACTTCCGTCGTCAAAATCGTAAACATGAAAGATTTCTACATTCTCACATTTTCACACAATCTATTTCCCATCGCACGAGTGAAAACACGCATTCTAAATATTATAGATCCCGTTTCCTTTGCATATTGAGACAGATTGAACGGAATTCGGGCGGGATCGCGGCGTTTCGCAGTACAAACAGCCGGTGCCCGCAACAAAGATTAACGTACGCGATGAACGTTGTTTGCGCGAGTATTCCGGTAGTTACGGCGGCACCTGTTTCACCGGGGGACCTACGGCCCCTATGAACCCGGCGTGACTCATTAGCTTTATGGGGTGCCGGGGCATTACGTAGGGCCCGATGGTGGCCGCATAAAAGCACTCGCGAGGCGGCGGCATCGGCTTTGCTCGCGGCAAACGAACATTAATATTCGCTCCCCTTCCGTCGAGATATCAGATTAGGGCTCCGTGGGCCCCTCTCGCTCGTACCCGTACTTTATTACAGCGCCCGGCAAAAATAAAGGAATCGGGCAACGAGCAAAAGCACCCCCCGTTCACCCCGGTGAACCTACACGTACCGGTCTCGGCCAGCCGACGTCGAGTGTCGTAATAATCTGATTTCGCCGGACTGTACGCCTGCCGTGCTTTTTCCCTCGGTTTCCACCTCACTTTTGTTGCTCGTCCCGTGTCTTCCACGCCAAGAGACACGGGAGTAATTGCATCGCGAAGAATCTCCGTTTTCGTCGAGAAAGTCGATCGCGTAACGACCCGCCTGCGGTCTGCGACGACTCTCGGTGTTTCTGGACGGGATGT